GACAACGTTGTATGCATTGTAGCACAGTGTATAATTTTTGTAGTATTTGCATATGTCTTAACATATGTCTTATACATTTCATTATTTAAAATGTATAATGTACTATAAAAAATATATATACCTACCTATAATATCAATCAACATTTTCACGTACCTGTAAGTACGCACTTAATTCGTTTTTATGCATTTATATTTTTTTATGAATCGTAATAAATATGTTCTAAGATATAACTACAATAGTTATGTAAAATTGTTCACAAACTCCTCTGTGCATCATTAGAAATAATAGTTACATTAAATAACAACTGCTATTACCTCCGAGGGTAATTATTATTAATAAAAAAAAAAATACTTATGTATTATTTATTCATGTTGTTTTGTTAAATTTACTACTTTAAACAAAAGATTTTTCAAAAACCATTGTTTTGTAAAATTTGTATGATACCTATTATAAATTCTAATTTTATAGTTAGCTTTGGTGTCTTTTGAGTGATAATTAATTCTGGAGTAGGTATCAAAAATGTATTTACAAAAGTGTTCAATAGATTAAAGTCATTAAGTATTTCCAGTTATTGTAATGGCATATATTTTTGCATGTAATTATAATTATTTATGAATATATTTTATAGTGGGGGGGAGGGTCCGGACCGGATGTACATTTTAAGTCACTAAGAAACATAACATACACTATTATTTGATAGTACCTAAAACCGTCCCAGACTCCCAGGAATAGTTTTTAGAAAAACATTACTGTAGTGTTTCTAAAACACTATTCACGTAATATATAGCTGTCTACATTATCTGATCAATAATAGTTACATAATGTTTTATACAATGTAACAAGCAACATGGCATAAGGGGTTTCTGTGATGTTTTTGGAACTTATGTAAGTTCTATAGGAACGTTTCCATGTTTTTTGGGAACGTTATTTTTATGTAACTGAAGCATTGGTTTGCACACCAAACCTTGATATAGACATAAAGCATAATATTATGTGCATACTCACACTCACGATAGTACGTACAATGTGTTTGCATTCAAGACCTTCCCATATTCCAGACATGCACATAAATTATATTAATATAATGTTATTATATACATTGTTTCTACTCCTTATATTCTGAACTTGGAATGATATTATTTACAAAATATAATCCTCGAAAAAGATAAGTAATACAATTTTAAAATAATTATTGAAATAATAAGTTAATGTTCTATTTAAATTTAAAACAGTATAAGTGCTTGTAATAAGTGATACGTAAGAATGCCTATGATTATCCTACTACGATCTTCGTACTATCGACACTTCAAAATTTTAAGAAAAATTATCAGCTAAAGTGTGATTTTCATTTGAAAAATAGGAGCTATCATCTAAACAGGAGAAGGAGTACAAGTGATCTTATGAATTTAAAAATATGGTCTTTGAGTATATTTAAGAATTCTAAAAATTGTATTTTTAATAACTAAATTATTGGAGAATATAAAAAAGGCGGTGTGCATGCTTGTTGGTGTTTTTTTTATAGGTATTTATAATACAATTACATGAAATATAATGAACGTATGTTATGGGCATTGTGATTTATAAACGATAAATTCAATTCCAGAACATCGTTCTTTAAATTTAATTATATATAGGTGTATATAATTATATTCAGTGTTTTTAACCAGTATCTAATTAGTATATTTTTAAGCATATTACAATAACCAATTACGCCGTGTTTTGGGGTATAAAAATATAATTTACCATTAGACATATACTTTTCTTGCAAGTACTTATTGCTAACTTTTGAACGTTAAAATTAAAATTAAATTTATTTAATAAACATTTATTACTTAAGTATAAAATATTAATAAGTAAACATTTTTTTATAAAAACCAGGGTAGATATAACTATTTTTGTAAATCAAAAGAAATATGTTTAAGTTTTTTGTACAGTAATAAAAATGTCCAAATAAAAATTTGTATATAAAGAAAAAAAACTATTTATTTCGTTGTAAAATACTACATGAGCACTTGCTACAACAAACAATTTCAAACATTGAGTAAATCAAATGGTACCGAATTCATAAAAAACACTTTACAACAAACAGGTTGGTATTAAATATTAATCATTATTTGTATACATATATATATATATATATATATGTGTAGGTATAATATTGTGATAAATTGCATAAACTGATCTTGAAAATATAAAAAACACAAGGCGAATGTACTATACTTACCTACAGTTTTAACGGTGTGCATGCAGTAGGTTTTGTAATAGTTTATATGATTATAGTACTTATATAATATATAATATTTATATGAAACTTATAAGTGAAAAAAAGTGAGTATATTATGTTGTTTTTAAAAGCACTGGAAGTTGTTTGAAAATATACAGTGTATTGGAATTAAGGTATAGGTACCTAAAGTTGTTAACAACTTACTAAACTTTTTAATATTTTACTTGACTTTATATGGATTTTATAGATATTTACGATAGAATGTAATATTTATTTACTATACATAACATAATATTATATTTTCACGCTATCCATTGTATAATGTATTTACTACTTATATTATAAAATAAAATAAAAACGTTGCAAAGTATATTTTTTTTTGTATCGTATACGTGTACAAGTTGAACGATATATTATTATTATTTTGATAGACTTAATAATCTCATGACAGAAAAGACTATTTAAACTGTTCAAAAACAATACTTTTTTTATATGTGTAAAATGATAAACATTAAATTGTTAAATTGGTAGGTAGGTACTCTAACAATTTTATGGTTTTCATAGGGTAGGATTTATACAAAAAATATCTATGATTCCTGTCTGTCCGTGATAGATATTGTCATACATACATTTTTAATGATATATAATATAATGTGGTCATAAAGGTAATATAAAACTATACAGATGTATTAACTGGAAACAAATGATTTTTTCAAGTTTTTAAATAGTTTTCAAAATTATTACACGTGGAAATGTTATATCGTATCCAAATATATAACTATACATATAATAAGTGAAGGGTACGGTTCTTCAAACTTTTTAACGTGATAGAAAAGGGGACTAGTAACCTATACATACGACTAATGATGAAATATTGAGTTAGGGAAAGTCTTCAAACACGTTTCTTTGCGAGTTGGGTTTACTCGACCTTTCGAACAACTGCAAAAAATAGAGAGAAACAAACTCGATTGTGTGTTAGTGAAACATTGTAAAACATAACAGACGGATAAATAAATACTAGCGTTTTAAAAGTTTTAAATGCCCTTCAATGCCCGAGTATCAAATTTAAGGTAAACTGCTTTCTATTATCGTTTTGCTCAACAAAAATATAAAGTTTTTGGTTTAGGTTTGTAAATTTTGTTTACGTTTTCTATTTTATAAATATTTAATACCGTTGTAAAAATATGTAACACGCAAAACAAATAAAAATGTTTCATTGGAAATGTGTATATACTATACCTATACAGTTGTTATCATATTCTGCTGGTAGTTTGTTCAAAGTTTGTTTAAAAGATTGGAACAAAAGCGTTAAGATCGTCATAAAATATTTTTTTAATTACTAACCCTTTTTAAAATATTAAATAACACATTAATACATTTTCTATTGACTAATTTATTCATATTAAGTCTTGCAATACCTACAATATTTATGTGGTTGACGGTTGTTTAATTAACGTATGATTACATATTTATTATTTTTATCCTTATAAATCAAAAAATTATGTCACAGCAAGTATAAGTTATAACTATTTAAATTGTATGAATTTAAATTTTACAATGAACTGATAAGCTACAGAAAAAAAGGTGCTCTGCTGTACATTAGGTTACAAGTGGGTCACTGTATAATGTATGGTATTAAATTTGAATTCAATGATATAATATCATTGGATAAGAAAAACGATTCTGAGCGGAGACGGTATGTCAGTCTAGGTAAAGACATATTATATGCTTATCTATGGTATTAAAAAAAATTGACCTATTATAGGTACCTATAATAAATTCCAAATTAATCATATCACAATATCCATTAGGAACTTATAACGCGTTATACATCAACAACAAACCCTGATACTATCATAGATATAATATAATAGTGTACTTTAGAAGTTTCAAGTACCCACGAATAATATTATACAATGACAACAAAATAACTAAAACAGTTGATCTAGGTTTTGTATTATGTAATTTCGTCCAAATTTGAACTTAAAATGACTATACAAATAAACTGTGTCTATGTATTATTTAGATTTTTTGGTAACAGAATTAACTAATTACGTGGAATCTTGTTTTACATTTTCAATCCTTAGATATAAAAGTTGAATATTTTATAAATTTTTAACTACAAAATAATTATTCAATTTTAAATTTGATAAATTTTGTCAAAATTCGATCTTTAAATGCTTATTAAAAAAACTTATTACAGAAAAATAAAAATACAAGTTCGGACTCTATAACTTCTTCTATAACTACAAATGTTGACGAAACTGGAGAATCATTTTATAAACCTAATCGAAAATGGTCTAAAACAAATAAAACAACTGATATACCAAATTATTGCCTTCCAACTGGACCAGTAGATAAACTTTTTCATGGTGAAACGGCTACACCGGTTTTTCTTGAACTTTTAGACGGCTTTCTCGATCATCTTGTTTTTCAAACAAATTTATATGGTACTCAAAGAGATAAAATACTGAACGTAAAGCGACACGAAATGTTGAATTTTATTGGAATTAATTTTTTATAAGTTACCATAAATTACCTAGATGGAAAAACTATTGGTCAACTTGTCCAGATCTTGGTGTTAATTTAATTTCTAATACAATGCCATGAAATAGGTTTGATCTAAGATTATAAAATGTACATGTCCAGGACAAAACTTTAATTCCTCCGAATAATACAGACAAACTTTTTAAACTTAATCCATTGATTGATTATTGTACTGAAAAATTTTCAAAATCATATTATGGCATGAGGGAATTGTCAATAGACGAGTCTATGATAGTTTTTAAGGGAAGAAGTAGTATGAAACAATACAACCCTATGAAGCCGATAAAGCGTGGATATAAAATATGGTGTATGTCTGATCAGAATGGTTATATAAAAAAATTTAAAATATACCAAGGTAAAGACGAACAAGTGTCTGACGAATTCAAACATTTTGGGCTTGGAGAAAGAATCGTACTTCAAATGTCTAAAAGTGAGTGGAATAAAAATAGGTGTTTCATTTTAGACAATTATTTTACGTCTATTCCTCTTTTAGAAAAACTTAAACTCGAAGGTTGTTTAGCTTATGGCTTATGGCTTTTTCGACCAAATTGTAAAGGTTTACCAAAATTGGCTGATGATACAAAATCTAAAAGGAGAACTTATGACTACCGCATATCTGATTTAGGTATTAGCGTCTTTAAGTGGAAAGACACAAAAACTGTTCATTTTGCATCAAATTATCATGGATCTGAGGTAACAACAGTTTTACGTATTAAAACAAAACTGGAGAAAAAAATAATATCACATGTCCGCAAGTTGTCAAAGACTGTAACCGTTTTATGGGTGGCGTAGATCACGCAGATCAATTGCGCATGTCGTATGGAGTAGATCGGAAGTCAAAAAAATGGTGGCGCAGATTATTTTTTGGTATTCTAGATATAATGTTTATAAATGCATTCTTAATTTATAAGGAACTGCATGGGAAAATACCACTTTTGGTATTTCGGCGTCAAGTTGTACGAGGCCTTTTATCTGAAAAAGAAGTTATTACTCCGTCTCGAGCACATTTATTTCAAAAACGTAAGAAAGCAGAAATCACTGAAGTACTGAAAAAAAGAAAAGAAAACAGCTATCCGTTTCTAAGGACGCCAGGTTGCATAATCGAGGAATTCATTGGCCAAAATTTACTAAAAGTCGTGGTCGATGTGAATTATGTTCATTTAAATATCAACTACAATCAAGACCGTTCTCAAAATGTTTAACGTGTAACGTTTTCTTATGTTATAATGACAAGAAAAATTGTTTTGCTGAATACCATGACATAAACTGTAATGAATAATTTTTTTTTCATGTATGCTTTTAATAATGTTAATAAATTAAATTATTATAACGATAGTACTTTTTTTATAACATATTTTATAAGGTATTCTAAATATTGATTATTTTGATATATTTTTTTTTACCCCACTGACGTGTCAGTGGGGTAAAAAAAAAAAAATAAAATGTCTTTTAAAAAAAAATAAAAACACATTATACAGGACGTAGGAAGCAAGTAGGCAACAATTATAGCTAGTGTCTCTGTGTCTACATAATTCGGTTTTTGTCATTTATGGAGATGCAACTTGCAGTTGTGCCAAATGTTGAAATGTCAACATGTTATAAAAATGTATTGTGGTTTATGGTAAATCAAAATCAAATTCATAGTAACGGTAACCCTTATCTAAAAGTTCCTATTGGAGTCCACGGACTTAAATAGTCCGTAATATAAAATTATTAACAGAAGGCAATCTGGCAACTATAACAACTGCATGTGACAACTTTTGTCAACTCAACCAAATATGTTACGTAATACCTAATATTAAATTAAATTATTATGTAATATGTGATAATGTCTACAATGTAGACTCTATACTCTTTTTCACGAGAGAAAGGTACCGGCGGCCGACCAAAACGGGTCCGCGGCCGCGCATCCCCCACCAACTATCAGTGGTAAGCGTGATCACGTGGTCGTTCACGCACCAATCGAATCATTTTACATGCGCGAAACGGTACCGTTCTCTCGTGAAAAAGAGTATACAGTCTGCATACAACATAGAAATAACAAATAAGTAATAATCATTCAGAAATTACCAAAATCTATTTATATCTTTAACTAATAATATTATTATTACGACGATAATATTCTACCGGCATCAATACGCCGATAATAAATTAAATAGTATTTAACACAACACATATTAGTTATTATTATATTAATATTATATTATATTATAAATTATGATACATATCTAATTCTAACTTCCTAAAATATTAGCTGTGGTGCTGGTGTGTGTAGGGGACAGGGGTCCTCGTCCTTACTTCATGTCATTAGTCATGTACCTATCAACTAAAAATACCTTCTTATGTGTTAACAAAGAAAACTATATTAAAATAATACAATTTAAAATTTCAAGGAACTGTGTTTTTCGTCCAAGTTCCTCAAAAAATAAAGAATTCGTTCATTTTATTTTTCCTTTCTCATTAAAGGAAGCAGTTTCAAGCTTCGTTCCTACAAAAATAACTCGTTCTAGGAATCAGTCCCTTTTGGAACGAGTTACTTACCAACACTGCATATGACCTGACTTGACATTGGACCCTTAATTTATTGCTCTCTTAACATAATTTGCATGTGTCTTATTTTCAAACTATACTCGTGGGTACATATCGGATATAGTGTTATAGGTCTTATATTCATTTTTCGTTTAAAACTAACATACAAATAAATTATTTTCTGAAACTAAACAAATAAATATTTACTGAATATCCTTTTCGTCGTATAATTGTTTTGTTTCATATTACATAATATACTATAATATAGTACTTACGTAGTATATTATACTTTTGTTATTACATCTTACTACGAATAATTCATGATGACGAAAAGAACACCACTGGGAGGTCTCTTAACTTTGTACTTGTTAGAATTCTTGTGTTTTGAATAAATATTATCAGTTACGCTTATTATTCAAAGCATGTGGTAGGCATGTAACCTAAATACAAATTATGAAAAAAAAAAAATCAATAATGACTTAGTTTTTGTCTCATACTAATAGTATGTTTTATAATATTATAAATTATTTAATATAAAAAAGATAACCGCATATACTTCCACCATATACCTGACAGAACAGTTTGATAAATTGCACTATCCAAAATATATAATAATTGTGGATTTTAGGTTAATATTAGCCCTAATACCAATAGCTTGAAGAAAACGAATGTTTAAGGCTCAGTCAAACAGAGAGCGGACTGCCATGGTGTAAGAGTTACGAAATTGTATTATTTTACAGTGTTCGCGCTGACAGACTACTTTGTGTTTGACTGATCCTTTAAAATATTTTTAAAACAATACAGTATTCCGTTATACTTATTTTTACATATTATTTACAGTTAAGTCAGCTTACACTATTTTTACTGTTCTTTGTCATAGGCTCAATATTTAAAAAATTGGGCAAGTGGATGTCGCTCTGATGTACAAAATTTAAATAGGTTACAAGTGGGTGTACCCAAAACGGTTCTAAGCGAAGACGGTCAGTCAGCCTATGATATTACTAAGTATATTTGATGATATTATTGTGAATAAAGTAATTTATAGATAAACCTCTATAACCTTGTTTTAAATGTTCAATCCTTAAATATAAAAGTTGAACATTTTATAATTTTTTAACTACAAAATAATTATTAAATTTTAAATTTGATACATTTTGTCAAAATTTGAACTTAAAATGCTTATAAAAAAATATTATGCCTTTTTATTTATAAAACTTTTCAACTGCAATAGTAGAAATATATCAGGATCCATGTATCAAATTGTCAAGATGTTTTACCCAACAAATACAATTTTAGTGACAATTATAGAAAAAAACTTAAAAATTGAAAACTGACAATGTCTGTAAACAGCTCAAAAAGTGTCAAAATATTTTGAACATTTCATCAAGTATAGGAATTGATAAAGTAAACATTTACTATGTAGTGATATAAATTCTATGATGTAAATTTTAAGGTGTATAGAAAATGGAAATATAAACATTCAGTGAAATTTTCATGTATCTACAGTTATTTGTTTTTGAATTACAACCAAATAACAAAATCGCTTTATGAGAAATCGAGTGAATATCCAATCTTGTAAAAATTTGAAATTCAAATGCTCATAAAAGTTTAATTTGATTTGTTTGTAGACATTTTTTTTTTTTTTAATAAAAGTAAAGGACAAACTCATGAGAAATCTTGTACTACATTTTCAAATCTAAGATTTAAATAGAAACATTTTTATGAATTTCTAACTCAAAAAAATTTCCAAATTTTCGTGAATTTTAAGTATTTTGTCAATATTTAAACTTTAAATGCTTACGAAAAAAAAATAATGTGGCTGTGGATATTTAATATTTTTCATCTGTTTTTGAAACAATATATAAGGAGCCTTCTATTAAGTTCTCAAGCTTTTTTACACAAAAAATACAATTTTATTGACAATCGTAGAATAAAAACCTAAAAAAATTGGAAACTGAAAATGTCCGTTAACAGCTCAAAACAAGTCTAAATATTTTGAAAATTTTTTATATATAGAAAAGGCTAATATAAACATTCAATGAACATTTCATATATCTACGGTTATTTGTTTTAGAATTACACAAAAACCAAAATCGATTTTGCGTAAAAATTCTCGGTTTTCCATAATTTGTTTTTTGTTTTTCCTGGTGCTTTTGGAAACTACTATCAATTTTAAATTTTGACTTCCCCAATGCACCAACTAGATTCAATTTGCTGTCGAACAACAAACTTAAGTGAAAAATCGATGCGATATTTCGACTACTTATCGTGTACACAAGACATAAATAAAAAAAAACACACTTCATCTTAAAATCAATACATTCATCACTCCTCTCAGAATCTAAAATAATAATGTAGCACATTATGACGTCATTACCTATAAAATATTATCCCTCTAAAATGTGGAAATATTCGGTAATTACCCATTAGGTGAACGGAGATGGCAATACGGCCACCACTCACCGCATCCTCTCAAACACTGACTCTGAAATACTTGTAATCTGCGGTTATAAATCTCTCAAATGGCAGAATAAAGCTCTAAAACCTTTATCTGCATAACATACGCCATGTATAATATATATATACCTTTAATATATGTATGGAATGATATAACCTTGGAACCGAATAAGTAACCTTTTCTACGTGTGTATTTGGAACTTCGGAACCCGATCACGTTCAGAATACCCTGACCATAATAATATAATGTTTTTTCGTTGTCGTAGTTTGCACGATGACGGTAATATCACTAGTAGTGACGTAATATACTCGAATAAGGACGAGACACGGGCAAACGCAATAAGGAAATAAAGTTTCGTTTTATTTCCGACGCGGGCTCGAGTACATGGCACGATCATGGCAGAGTTCTGGAATAATATTCGAAAACATTATATTATTTTGCAGGCCGAGATCGTTCGTGCGTTTCCGTTGGCGACTGTACATTTTATATAATATCTACGGCACGTCATAGGTTCAGCAGTGTTTCTGATGTGAAACGTAAACCGAACAAAATCTCTTGATTGAATTTATTTGCGACGATACGAGGATGACGTGTAACTCGTCGAAGGTTCACGTGGTTGTCTATAAATATATTTGCAGATGCTTTACACTCCGAATGTATTATGCACGTCGTGCGTACGTGTGGCCACGTAGGTGTAATACAATCAATAATTAGATACATAGGTACTCAAAGTTCAAAAAAAATAAATAAAAGTGTAGCCGGGTTTAGAATAAAAGTTCGGACAGAACTATATAGCGTATATAGATATAATTTTAAAGACGTTTACAAATCTTTAATGTTTGGCTGAAGTTTCAGATGCGAAACGTAAACCGAACGACATCGTTCTATTAAATTTGTTTGTGAGATATTACAAGAGTACGACTTGTAACTACTATAGGTGAAAGACGGTTCACGTATTTGTTATCTGTGAATATGTATATGCAAATATTTTACTCTGAAGCCATTCCCACGTGCAGCGTACGTGTATTATGCGCACCACGTATGTTCCAATAGTACAATAAATTATTAGATACAGACTCAAAATTCAAAATTCAAAAAAAAAAGAATGTTAGAAGAGCTTTGAATAAAAGTTATATCTTTGGATGAATGGCCAATAACATAGTTTATACTTTATAATAGATTTACAATTTATTAATGTGCCAGTATAATATTATATAGCTGGTACAAAAATCCATTTTTTTTTTAAAATAACATAAAATATTTATGGAAAATATTCGTGATGTTGACGCGTATATTTTATCTGCCATTGTAAACCGGACTTTGTCGTATTATCGCTCGCGATAGTGAGCACTATGTAATGTCTAATAACATAAGAAGTCTAGTGTCAGTATGCGTTCGACTGCCAATCGCCACGTAAATAAATATATATTAATACCAAATAAACCAACTGTATTATAATATTCTTACACTAAAACAAATCTCATACAGTCCACAAATTAAAATTCGTAATTTAACATTGGTCCTTCGAGCCGGATAAAAGGAATCGGCGATATTCGTGAATGGCAGTCAAAATTAAAATTCGCACAGTATTTATTAAAGATAAAACGTGTGTAAAATAAGTGCGTGCGTGAAATATTCAAATAAAATTAATCAACCGTTAATCCATTCGTATATCAGAATAACGGTAAGGTTGTCGCGGAAGGAGAACAATATTGGACATACCAATCCAACTTCAAAGGAGGAAAAATCTGGTAAGTCGTGTCCATAATATTATCTTAAATCCACTCCTTCCTAAAATAAACTAATTAAAAAAAAAAAAAAAAAAAAAAAAAATAATATAATATAATATAAGTCTGTGGGACATGCCCGAGTTAGGTGCCTTGAAATCCCGTAGAGGCCAATTAAAGGCCAAGCTAACAAGATTTATAAATCACCTGTCAAATGTTGACAAAAATGTGGAAATAAATCGGACAGAATTGAGGTGCCGTCGGGAAAAGAACGAGGATGTTTGGCAAGAGTTTGAACAGGTACAAAGTGCAATCGAGCTGTTACTGAATGATGAAGAAGATGAAGAAACAACGAACTACCGCGTGGAATTCGAGGATGCATATTTTAATGCCATTTCATTATGCGATGATTTAATGTATGACAGAAATAATGAGCAAATCGAAAGTCAAGGTAACGCCGACGTTATGCGTAATAGTAACATGCTTGTTCCGGCTCCACAGATGACGGCAAGTAGTGGTGGGGGATTTTGTTGCAATAATTCCAATGCACCAATACAACTAGCGGCGATAAGTCTACCGACATTTTCAGGTATATATAGTGAATGGCCTACATATTACGATATTTTTGGAGTAATGGTACACAAAAATGATCGAATAAGCGACATTCAACGGTTTTTCCATTTGCGCGCATCGTTATCGGGTGAAGCGGCTCAAGTCATACAAGGCATAGAGACGACCGCCGCCAATTACAGTATCGCTTGGGAAAGTCTGATTGCCAGGTATAACAATAAAAAGGTGCTTATTCAATCACATACTAGAGGCTTGTACGAATTATCAGTGATAAACGAAGAATCCAAACAATTACGAAAATTAATTGATAAATTAAATTGTCATATCAACGCTTTGGAGTCCTTGGGAGAAAATCCTCGTGGGTGGGGATCCATGTTAATTCATTTAATTACGAGCAAATTAGATATTAGCACCATAAAAGCATGGGAAACAATTGCACCGAAAGACGAAATACCACCAATTCAAGTACTGATACAATTTTTAGAAAAACGTTTTAAAATAGTAGAAGCTGTTGAATCGGTATCACAAATGAATATCAAAGAAAGCTCGGATTCGAAGGGAAATAAGAAAATCAATAAAGGTTATCCCAAGGAGAAAACGTATTATTCATTCGCGGCTACCGATATGACCAAATGTTACAATTGTAATTTACCACATACTATTTATAAGTGCCCTGCATTCCTAGCATTATCAGTACCCGACAGAATAAATAAAGTAAATGCACTAAAGTTGTGCAAAATATGTATGCGTCCACACAATGACAAAAAATGTCTTGGTGAAAAATGTTTCAAGTGCCATAAAGCTCACAACACGATGCTACATTTAAATGCGAGCAAAGACGGTGAAGAGAATAAAAGTAATACGATGACAGCCGCGGGTAACGATAATAGTAACACAAGTCGTTCCGATAACGAAATCATACCAGTCACAGCACACAGTACAGTCGCAGCGACGGCGGCTGCGCCGGATAAACACGTTATGTTATCCACCGCCGTCATAAAAGTATATGATAAAATGGGTAATGCGATACATTGCCGTGCGCTATTGGACTCTGGATCTCAAAACAATTTTGTCACGGAATATATGGCACAAACCCTTCAATTAGGCCGAAACAAAATAAAGAGCGATGTCTCCGGTATAGGTCAATCAGTGCACACTATAACGTCCGCGGTGACGGTGAAGATAAGATCCCGCACAAGCGATTACGAAAAAACCATATCTTGCTTAATATTACCCAGATTAACTAATGACATACCCGCACAGGTCATTGACCCAAAACGTATAAATGTACCAGATAATATTGTATTGGCTGACAACGCATACAATAAGCCGCAAAAAATTGATATGTTATTAGGTAATGAATTGTTTTTCGACTTAATGCGTCCAGGGCAAATTAAATCGAGCAGTGCCGGGCCAATTATACAAGAGACGAGGTTAGGATGGATAATTGCTGGTCCTATACCAAAATGCAAGAATAATATCGATCGGGGAAATATTACGTTATTAAGCGAAATCGTAGTAAATAATTTGGAGGATCAAATTTCGAAATTTTGGCGCTTAGAAACTGTATTAAATGATAAAACGAATTATACAATGGAAGAGAAGGCTTGTCAAGCGTATTTTAATCAAACCGTTCGCCAAGGCGTAGACGGTAAATTTATTGTAAAATTACCATTTAAAACAGAAATAAAAGAAATAGGCAATTCTTACCCGGCTGCGCTACGACGGTTTTTTTCATTGGAAAAGCGATTTCAATTCAACCCTGTATTAAAATTGGAATATAGTAAATTTATGAAAGAATATATTGAATTAAATCATATGGATGTCGTCTTGGAAAACGAAGAAGAAAAAATCGGTGTAAATGACTATTTTTTACCGCATCATGCCGTGATAAATACAAATAGTACTACTACTAGACTGCGCGTGGTATTTGATGCGTCATGCAAAACGGACATAGGACTTAGTTTAAATGATGCGTTGTTAAAGGGTCCTACTATACAGGAGGAATTGATTACTATTTTGGCGCGTTTTAGAAAACATAAATTCGCGTTCTCCGCAGACGTATCAAAAATGTATCGCCAAATATGGGTGGACCCGCAGCAGCGTAGCTATCAAAAAATTATTTGGCGCGCAAATCCCGAAGAGCCACTGCGTACCTATAGATTGAACACGGTAACGTACGGGACGGTTCCAGCTTCATTTTTGGCGACCGGGTGTTTAGCTAAGTTAGCCGAAAAAGAATACCACATGTTTCCGGACGCCTGCGACGTTATTAAATCCGATTTTTACATGGACGACTATTTGGGTGGTGCGGACACCAAAGATAACGCGTTAAGGTTACGTAATTCGTTAATCGAAGTTATGCTCCGGGGTGGTTTTCCACTAAGAAAATGGATGTCAAATAGTTCCGAGCTACTCGCCGATATGCCCAATATAGGAAATAAATCAATGACCATAATCGAGCTTGAAAATAAAATGACTAAAATTTTAGGCTTATTATGGTGTCCGGAACGCGATGTTTTTAAATATAAAATTGAAATAACAACGCTCAACGATCTACCAGTTACCAAAAGAGATATATTATCACAAATCGCTTCATTATTCGATCCGCTAGGACTCGTTGGTCCTATAGTAATACGCGTAAAAATATTAATGCAAAAATTATGGCAATTACAATGCGATTGGGATAAGCCTGTACCGATTGTAATTCAAAAAGAATGGAAAAGTTATGTAAGTTCTTTAAATTATTTACGTGAATTAGAAATACCTAGATATCTTGGTACCGAAACTGACTATGAAATACAAATACATGGCTTTGCCGACGCTAGCTTATTAGCATATGGGGCATGTTTATACATTCGTTGTTCGAGTAATAAAAATGTACACGTCACCAAACTTATTTGCGCAAAATCAAAAATAGCACCGTTAAAAATAATATCCCTACCTCGCCTGGAGTTATGCGCTGCCGTAATACTCGCGCGCTTAGCAAATAAAGTCTTACCGAAATTAAAATTAAATATAAAAAATAAATATTTTTGGACAGACTCGTCTATAACATTAGCTTGGATCACTTCCCCGTCGTCAAAGTGGAAAACTTTCGTGGCTCACCGAGTAAGTGAAATACAGGATATGACCAGGTTAAATGAATGGAATCACGTGAGCACTCAAGACAATCCAGCCGATTTAATATCGCGCGGTTGCGGGGCCGATCAAATAATAAACAATGATTTATGGTGGGAGGGCCCTCATTGGCTCGCCGATAATTCCGAAAACTGGCCAAAATCAAAGATCAACGTTAACGCCGGTATAATACCGGAAGCAAAAGAAAAAATCACTTTATTGATAGAACCCGTAAATGAAAACTTAATTAAAAATTATTCATCGTGGAATAAATTATTACGAGTGTTTGCTTATTGTTTACGTTTTATTAAAATCCGTGTCAAAAAACTTGAAGTCATTGGTCCTATTCAACTCGAAGAACTACGAGCAGCTGAAATTGCCGTTATCAAAATAACACAATCATACTACTGGTCAAGTGAAATAAATGGTTTAATAAATAATTCTATTCTGCCGAACAACAGTAAATTGAGAAATTTGCAACCTTTTTTAGAAAATGGAATTATGAGAGTCGGTGGTCGATTAAAAAATGCTCTATATTTAGACCAATTTCAACGTAGTCCTATTTTAATACCTCAAAATAGCACTATTGCAAATTTAATATTGCAAAATGAACATGAAAAATTGATCCTCAAGCTATGTTGGCCAATACACGATTGAAGTATTGGATAATAGGCGGTCGAAATACTGCAAGACATATTTTTCATAAATGTATTAAATGTTTTAGACTCCGACCTATTATAGTGGAACCTATAATGGGAAATTTACCAGCGGAACGCCTAGAACCATGTCGAGCTTTTAAAAAATGCGGAGTGGATTTCGCCGGTCCAATCACAATCAAAACCAGTTTGAGAAAAAAGGCAGCAGTGACTAAGGGCTACATTTGCGTCTTCGTTTGTTTTAGTACTCGTGCTGTCCACATAGAACTTGTAAGTGATCTGACCAGCGATGCATTTTTGAACGCGTTAAAAAGATTTATTGGTCGTCGTGGTGTATGCTCTGATATATATAGTGACAACGCCACTAATTTCGTCGGCGCCAATAAAAAGCTTTCCGAGCTTAAATGTTTGTTCCAGTCAGCGACCCATTTGGACAAAATGTATAATGCGTTAGCAACAGAGGGTATTAATTGGCATTTTATCCCCCCCCGATCTCCTCATTTTGGTGGGTTATGGGAGGCTTCTGTAAAATCCATAAAAACTCATCTGTACCGGGTATTGGGCGAATCGCATTTGACATATGAGGAATTAAATACTATTTTAATAAAGATAGAAGCTGTCTTAAATTCTCGCCCACTCACTCCTCTTTCCTCTGATCCTATGGACGCGACACCATTAACACCAGCTCATTTCCTTATTGGTGAACCTACCTGTTCAGTACCTGAACCTGACTTGTCGTCTGTACCTGATAACCGCTTGAAACGATGGCAGCGCGTGACTCGACTTACGCAGTGTCTTTGGAAACGTTGGAATGACGAATACTTATCCCAACTACAGACCCGAAAAAAATGGTTATCAAATAAAGGTCCAAATTTAAGCGTTGGTACTTTGGTACTAATTAAGGAAGACAACATAACTCCTTTGTCATGGTCTCTTGGTCGTGTAGTACGTGTGCAGGCTGGAGCTGACGGGGTCGTTCGAGTGGCTACTGTTTTGAGCCGCGGGAAGGAGGTAAAAAGGTCTGTCAGAAAATTATGTCCTCTTCCGTTCGAAGGTAATGTTTAGAATTAAAAAAAATAAAACACATGTTTTTTTTGTTGTGTAATTATAATCGTAAAAAAAATTTTTTTTTTATCTGTTAAATATTTATTAATGTAATTTATTTGAAATGAATTTTCTATTGTATCGTAATTCCAAATTTTGTAATTTATAATATTAATATTTTTCGATGTATTATAATATTTAATATTTGTTTAAAGTTTATGTTGAAAATTATTTAAATGTTTCAAGGCGGGCGGCATGTTGACGCGTATATTTTATCTGCCATTGTAAACCGGACTTTGTCGTATTATCGCTCGCGATAGTGAGCACTATGTAATGTCTAATAACATAAGAAGTCTAGTGTCAGTATGCGTTCGACTGCCAATCGCCACGTAAATAAATATATATTAATACCAAATAAACCAACTGTATTATAATATTCTTACACTAAAACAAATCTCATACAGTCCAAAAATTAAAATTCGTAATTTAACACGTGATAACAATTTAAAAGGAAATACAAAAGTATCATGTACCTTTGATACATGTATCATGTATCATGTATCTTTTCTGTATTCTTTTGTGATATACAACACTCAGATAATACCACTCTTGCTACCTTTGCTGATAACACAGCCATTATTTCAACAAACGTCGACCTACCCAGAACCTCTGAATCACTCCAAACACACCTTAATGAACTCAAAAATTGGTTCAACCAGGAGAAAATTAAAATAAATCCTAACAAATCAGCACATACAACTTTTTCCCTACGTCCAGGTATCTGCCCCCCTCCCCCCCCATGATTCTTAATAACGATATGATTCAATCAAAAAAAGTAACTCGATATAATATTGGAGTCCACCTAGACAACAAACCTACTTGGGCCACCCTTGTCCCAAAAGAAAACTAAGAGAAAATCTCTTAAACTCAAACTCCACAAACTTAGACGCCTCCTCAAATCAAATCTTCCACTCAACATCTAAATTATAATCTACAAGAAAATTATTTGCCCATCAATGATTTACGGTATCAAGTTATGGGGTACGGTCAAAACATCAAATATAAAAATATTCCAATCTTTTCAGTAAATTTTCCTTAACCTCATTGCAAAAGCCCTCTGGTATGTCTCTCCCACCACTCAGACCTCAAAATCCCAACCATTCAAACACTAGAAACGCACTATTATAAATCATTTCATAAAAATACTTTATCTTACTCTTCCTGATAACCCTCCCTCCGTCTTAAACGGAATTAACCCAGGTACCTCCTTAACATTAAAAAAAATAATAAATGTAATATAAAGTTATCCAGTATGTACCTTTATCAAAAACAAAATGTCTATAAAAAAAGTCACATTTTATGAGCGTTTGAAGTTCAAATTTTTACAATATTGGTTATTCACTCGATTACTCAAGTAGTGATTTTCTTATTTTGTTGTAATTTAAAAACGAATAACAGTAGAAACTTGAAATTTATATCATATTATGTTTATTTTATAAATTCCTATACTTGATAACATTTTCATAATATTTTGACTATTTTCGAGCTGTTTACGGACATTTTAAATTTTTAATATTTTTTAGTTTTTTTTACTTCTATAAATGTCAATAGAATTGTATTTGTTTGGTAAAAAGGGTGAAAAATTAACAAAAGGCTTCTGATAAACTGTTACAATAATAGTTGAAAAATATTAAAAATACATAGTTCTAATTTTTTTTCTTTATTAGCATTTGAAGTTTGATTTTTGACAACATTTTTAAATTTTAAAAGGTTTTTTTTATAGTTAATTTTGTTCAAATGTGGACGAAATTATATATTAAATCTACTATTGTCAATAAGATATTTTATTAAAAAATTGCAATAGATGGCATGTTCTATTCCAATTTTTGAAACATCTTGAAATTTATTTTATTTTTCTCCTTAGACTTTATTTTCTCCATATAAAATGTCAGCAGGTATTTATTACGATGATTTTTATTCAACTGTTATTGCATTATTAAAATGCATTTCACATTTTATACGTTTCTATATCTCCGGTTCGCATGCATATTGGCTGAACGGGTCGACCATGAAGTAATTTTCATTTGCAGGCGACTCCAGAATTACTATATTTTGTCCTAGAAAACAAATTTAAAAAAAAAAAAAAAAACTGTAAACGGGCGTATTCAATCTTGTTCCATTATTGTGGTACTATAGACGACAAAAAGAAATGGATATACGAAAAATATATTTAAATACCAGACAGAATATTATGTGGTAAGAAACATTTTTTGGAAGGAAAATAGACGAAGTCATAAACGTATTTTATTTGTGTATTAATGTATTATACATAGGTACTTATAGTTTTATGCACCACATTGTATTATTGTTTTTCAATAAACCTTGTAGACGATCTACTGTTTTGTCTTCTTGTAGTAAGATATATTATTCTTCACCTGGGTTGGCCATTAATCTTTAACTACTCATGAAAAATGTTCGTCATCGCATCGCTTGGCCTGTATGGGAATAATAACACTTAGGTAAGTAGGTATTTAAAATTCATTGAGATATTGTGTCAGATGGCTATACTATTAAACTGGCCGTACGGGAATAGAAAATAATTTTAAATTCGACCTTTTATTATTAGATAATATCGTAGTGGCCACAACTTTTCGGTTGGCTGTGTAATAGTTGCTTCCCGACAAACCTTTATGACCTAATAATATGGCGTATCGGATATAGTAATTGATATATTTAAATCGAGACCCGACTCACCAGTATTTGCCTGATATTCTAATTTAGTCCAAAAAAAATGTAATAACAATTTATAAATTGCAATCAATATTTCCCTTCCCATTTTTTCAGACTTAGGACAGTCAATATTATTGTTATAATACCTAATATATCGGTATGGTTGAAAATAATAAAATCAAATTTAAACTTAACTACCTATGTTTAAAACATAGAATTCTTGTTATTTTTTGACTTATAATATAAGGTACAATTACTTATCTTAAAATTTATTTCGGTGGATTTTCCATCGGATCCAATTTACATAATACGGATATAATATATACGTGAAGAACTCAGACCTGAACAAATATAATGATGTTATTGTTACCTTTTATCGGGACACGACCTACAATTTCACAAATAATCAATGATCTAACAGAGAGTGGTCTCTAACCTAACCTTATCAATTCATTCATAAAATGAACTTCATCCTAGTAGGTAAATACCTCTATTATATGTTTTTCAGATACATTTTATGTATTTTTATATTGTAACAATATTTTTTTGAGACATATGTTTTAATAAAAAAAGATTTGAAGTGTATTTCAAGTAACCAAGAGTAGTATATAACTGAAATAAATTTCAACTATTTTTAAATATAGTTAAGCAAATATTGTTTCTGGCCTATTCCATCGCCAAGGCTTCTGATAACATCATATGAATTTTAGTTTTTACTTTCCAAATACTGTTTGATAATAATTTGATATAAATGTACGATGGACTTTTTATCAAGATTCGGAGTTTCAACCTAATCCCTTTAGAATTGTAAATTTGAGTCCTGAGCAAATTACTTCCATGGTATCTATATTATTGATTTATGGTAATATGGTAATAATATATTTTATAGTAACGGAGTACCGAAATACTCGTAGACTTTATAGTAGGTGATGATAAACTAGCGTTTTATTATTGTAAAACTGTAAAAAATGTATTATATAAGTACATAATATACTTCATACAGGCATACAGCAACCATACATCAAAATAAAATAGTTTCGTAAAATACTTCCACGAAAACAATTTACAAATATCTGAATTTATATTAAATTATAAATATTGCATATAATATTATGTATAAATTAAATAAAACAATATAATAATATATCACATACAACTAGCGTCTACAATTTGATAAGTCTTGCTGTAGGCTATTTTTTAGATTGGTTTGATAAAGTTTCTCCAAGCACATCCCTAAAAATATATATTATTATATATATTCTATGGAATAAATTAAACTGTAAATTGGCGAGGTAAATTAATTCGTAACTTTAAATTTTGAACATTAAAAATGAAATATTAAATGTAATACAAGCCGTACTCAATTATAAGACTTAGCTTTGAGTAGAACACACAATAAATTAACAATCTAATAATGTTTATTTTGGAAAAACCAACTAGTTATGTATCTATGTCAAAAAGGTTATTAAGAGTAGGTCGTTAATTTTCTCGTACTTTGTTATTTTAGTACTTACTAAGTGTTATTTTGTTTTATTATATTAAATATTATGCATTTCATACTTAATTTCATTTTATTTTAGATTCTGAGTGAAACGATGAATGTATTGATTTTACAATGATGTGTGTTTTTTTTTTATTTTTTTTTTTATTTTATTTTTTATTTTTTTTGTGTCTGTGTACACGATAAGTAGTCGAAATAATGCTTCGATTTTCGACTTCAGTATCTTGTTCGATTGGAAAGTGAATATCGTTGGTGCATTGGGGAGGTCAAAATTTAAATTTCCCAGTAGTTTTCAAGAGCGCCGGGAAAAACAAAAGAAAAATTAAGGAAAAACGGGAATTTTTACGCAAAATCGATTTTTCAGAAAATTGAATTTGGTTTTTGGTGTAACTTTAAAACAAATGACCGTAGGTACATGCAATTTTCACTGGTTGTTTATATTTGCATCTTCTATACACGATAACATTTTCAAAATATTTTGATTTATTTTGAACAGTTTAGGGACATTTTCATTTTTAGTTTTTTTTTAGTTTTTTTTCTAGAAATATCAATAAAATTTTATTTGTTGGTTGCGAAAGCTTGAAAATTTAATAGAAGGCTCCTAATATATTGTTTCAAGGGCAGATGAAAAATATTAAAAATCCTTAGTCACAATTTTTTTTTATAAGCATTTAAAGTTCAAAAATTGACAAAATATGGAAAAATCACGAAAATTAGCAAATTATTTTGAGTTAAGAATTCGTAAAAATTTTTCTTTTTAAATCTAAGATTTGAAAATCTAATACAAGAT